TGCTGAACCTACTCGATCAGAATAATACGTTGGCAGTGCTCGATGTGAGGAAGAACGCAAACCTGAACGATGAACTTGCGTCGGAGGTGATGAGGAGGTTGGCGGAAAACGACGTCGAGGGAAAGTCGGAATACAAGTGGATGGGATTGGCGCCGAAAGACAAAAGAACCGTGTCGGCTGGTACACGAAGATGCAATGAGAATGAAGACACCGCGAAGCTCTCAAGAGCGCGAAGTGCCTTCACTAGGTACGCGAAAAGACCGTGCCAGGCAATTCCTCCGAGGAGGATGATTCCGAAGCCGCTTCCACCATCGAAGATGAAGATCCGACCGTCTTCGCCGCCGGTTCGCGACACTACTCAGCAACGACCCGATTTGATCCGATCGCGGACGATCGGCAGCATACAAACGGTGCCCAAGGTCTCCCTTCACTTGAATCTTCAGTCCCGGATACAAACCGCGGTGAATCGTGCCGATCGCGAGGATTCAAAGACAACACCGAAACATAAAGACATCATGCAACGCTCCGAAGAAACGAGCCTGAGAAGCTTCGATTCGACCAAAGTGGACGTCGGCACGCAAAGCGTGGACGATCCAGAAGAAATTCAAAGTATCCTCAAGCAATTGGCGGAAACTCAAGCGGAACACAATCGTCTCCTGGAGCAGACCAAGCAGGTCGACCTTCTGCTCGTCGAAGAACGCGCGTGCCGCGAGACCGCCGAGGCGAACCTACGATCGGCGCAAAACGACATAGCTATGCTGGAAGACGTTCTGAAGAAAAAGGAGATCGAGACCAACGGCTGCCTACTGATCAGTCAGCAATCTTTGGACGAAATATGCCTATCCTTCGACCGGCTCTTAGATCTGCTAGAGAATGTCGCCAAACATCCATTCGATCAGACGCAGCTAAATACGCAGCAAATCGCGAGCACGGACATCAAGCGACGGCTAGTATCCGTCATCAGGCAGACCAAGTCGGAGAACCTGAAGAGAGGTTACAAGATGGATATCGAATCGCCGCGTGTATCGCACGTCGTAGACAGCGCGCGGAAGCTCGTCAAGTCCGAGAGCGACGTGAGATCTATCATGCCGATTCCGGCGGCGCACCTCGAGAAGAAGATTGGCGAGTGTCCGGAGAATAACGAGCTGCGCGATCGGCGTCGTCACGACGTCGACACGAAGCCGATATCGCCCGGCGATCGGGCCCGTGCGATTTTCGCGAGCATCGTTAGCGGCGAGGCCGTGCTCGACTTCTGCTAGTCATCGATCGATCGGTTGAATTTGGTAGTTTGCGTGCGAAGGGCGCGGTGTAGAGTCCTTATACGGGGAGAGACTTTACATAAAATATATGGATATGTATTTTATACGTATATTATATACTACGTGCACACAGAGAACGCACGCGCACATACATGCCATATTTCTACATTATCACAAAAAGTATCTCCATTACTGTAGCACGATCTTTTCTTTATATAAATATTTATTTAATATTCGAATGTTATAAACCTAAGTGACGCCGTAAAAACGTCGTAAGAGCTCCTTTTTAAATATTTATTAATAGATGTCTTTTATACTTTTATGTTGTTCGATTCGAATGTCATAAATCTAAGTGACGCCGTAAAAAAGCCGTAAGAGCTCCTTTTTAAATATTTATTAATAGATGTCTTTTATACTTTTTATATTGTTTGAGAAGTAAATAATTACTACCATCTTTCCGATAAGACTGCATCGCGAAATTGGAGAAAGAATGATGAGAAAAATTAATTCAGAAATGGCTCGATTTATTTGTTAGAAAATCTACTTAATCATGCGGTTATTTTATTAATCTGTCATTACGAGGCGATGACCTGAATCTCATAGAAAATGCATTTGCAAAAATGCATTCATAATTCTATTGAATTGCATTGAATCGCCGAACATTTTCGGAGCAAAATGAAAGTGACGAACGACGTGACGTGATGCAAGAAATTGCTTATTGAAATAGGGAATCGAGATAATTACTGGGTTAAGAATAGCGCAGCCGGTTAGCGCTTCTGGGTAATCGACGAAGTGCATAATCTCGAAGACGACGCGAGATCGATCGCTCGCGCGATGAGGAACGTATGACGTTCCGACCCGTTTATACCCACATTTTTCTTAGCGCGTTATTGTGTATACATGGAATAAATATCATTTATCATTTCCGTAGAATCACTCATCGTTCAAATTTCTTGCAGCGAATAACGAATAAAATAATAATTTTTTTTTTGTGATTTCTTTAGTTCTCATCATTTTCGGATTTTACATTGAATTATAATTTGTTAAAATTTATAATTTTATGGCAAGTATAATATATCGAGTCAATATTCATTTGTATATAATTGTAACTTCTGGTATCTCTGACGATTTTTATACACGTTTTTCTCCTAATGCAAGTCTCAAAATTTCATATTTATGTAATCGAATTGCTGATTTTATTAGAAACGATCGTGATTTATATCAAAATTGTTGTGCTGAACCAAATAGTTAAAGCATAAGTTGTTTTATTATATATTCTCTCTCAATTACATAAATACGAAGCTGCGAGCTCTCGTACAAATACGCATTTATTTCTTAATGACATACTCTGTCCTAACTTTACCATTTTTTGGACTCACTAAACTATTTTAAATTAATCGAATTGTATATCAATCACGTGAACATAAAATCCTGAGCTAAAATATAATTTTTCCACAAAATTAACAGATTAAATATAACTGATATATCAATCAGAATCTTTTGTTTTCGATGTAGCGTTTTTGATTTTTCTGAATCCTTAAGATTCCTAAATATTTTAGAATACGACAAGAGGGATGGATTCTCCCCGTTGAATTAATCTGTGACTAGGCTTGTGTATCGCGAAGGGATTGATCGCGCTTGTGTAACGAGCGCGGTGTAATAACTCGCCGAAGACGACGCGCTGTGCCGGCGTCGGGACGCCGGCCTGTCGCTTTTAACGTTCACCCCTTGGTACTCTATGGATTTTCCATTAGTTCCAACCTGGGCAGCCGGTTACCTGAAAAACGCTACGCATACTCGGGCTGCTAGTCAAAGGTAATTTTTCATGATAGATCACGCTCGGCGTGTCGCTCACAACGGCGAAAGGTAAGCCTGGTGTGCAGCACAAGATCAAACGTGCCAACAACGTCGTCGGCCCTTGTTGCTCCTGTCGTTGCACCCGTCGACAGGTGACTATCGATCGTCACCTCCGTCGCCTGCCGCTCTAATCGACCGTGTCTAAGAGCCACTTCGACCAAACTCCCATTAACTAAATCGTCGATTAACAGAATTGCAAAAAAAAAATTACAGCAAAATTTCTAGCCGCATAATTCATTGTTTCTAATTTAATCTTTCTTTCCCAATGTGTTAACAAAAAATAATAAATTTCATCCATATTAACAAAATATTGCACTTATTAGTCATAAATTAATTCGTGATCAAGATAATTGAAGTTTGGTCAAAGTAGCCCCAAGTGTTGAAATTTTGCAGAATTCTCTTGACATGAGTACATCCTCAACATCCTTGCCCTTTCGATTGATAATCGCATTTAAAAGCTTCTGACTTATTTCTTGAGATATTAATTTGCGCGAACGTCTCAATTGCCGGTATTAATTAATGTTTCGGCCTGTTAATTATTATTCCTTGATAAAATTTTATTTTATTCTGTTCTTTTTTTTTATTTGGTTTGTAATGCTAATAATTTATATCTTTTTTCCACAAAGAATTATAGATACAATGATAAAGAATAAAAATCGGAGATAATAAAAAATCGCAGAAAGAGAAATTAGTTATCACTTACCCGAAGACGCCTACGGCGACGGCGGCTTCGCGCAGCGCCCGTTCTTGGTCCATCTCGACGAGTGCTTCCGGTCTAATGGTGGCAGTATTCCTCGGCTGACGTTCATTTTGGACAGCTGCAATATCACGATCTTGTCGTGTTTATAAATATATATGACCATTTATGATGTCGAAGAATATATGGACAAGTACGTCTTAACTTTCACAATTGCTAAAAATTGTGGTACCTTTTGTAACATTATAAAATTAATATTCTCTTTAAATTAATAACCCAAAGAAGATACATTTCGATGCATTTTGATCATTGATTTTCGCATAGAATTGCGCATCATTTATAATGAATGAATTTATAGCGAAGAGTTACAGCAGGTTCGGTGTTTTTGATTGACAATCGGCGCGGCGAGTGTTTTCGCAGGTGCAACGATCATAAACTTCCTCTTAAGTTCATTGAATCATTGAATCGTCATCGGTTATCGCAAGTTGCGGTAAGTCACAATACGAACTTGCCCATATATCAATTATATCTACAAATAACATAGTCGCGCGATATATATTCTGTGTCATTCGCGCAAATTACTGTGATAAATAACGTATTTCTTTAATATTTTTTCCGCGAGATTGCATAGGTCATGTATTGTAAATATATTTCTTTCATGCTTACGCAATTTTTGACGCAATACGTTTTTCACAGATAAGAGTGCCGTTATGCTGCAAAACGCTTGCTGCAATACTGCGGTATAAAGCTAGAACTGTATTTTTCATTGTATATCGATTATTATGTAACAATAGGATGAATAGAACCAGCGTGGTACCGGCAAAGCTCGTATTTCGTTAAAAACCGAATAGCTTTTCCGTCTGATCGAGAAAAATCAGAGAACAATAGTAAAGCTTTTACAATGCATATTCATCGTTTCGTTCGATCGCTCTTTTTTTTTTTGTTTCATTTTTTCGGGAAACGGCAAATTCTCTTTCTCTCTCTCTTTTTCGAACGGGAAAGGATATTGAAAACGGCGATGCGATCGGCGAACAATGGGAGCATTGTGTCGCTCGTCGAGGCCGTCGAATTCGCGGATGATTGAAATATTATTGAAATATTAGTCGATTTTCCCATCTTCACTCCCCCGGTACCGCCGGATTTACGGGGGAACGACAGAGCGAGCGGTTGTCTGCCGCCCTCTCGTCAAACTCACGTAACGCCACGTTACGTCACGCCGGCAGTCTGCGTCTGACACGCGTGAATTTAACGGGCACGCAATAGCCACGTTACGCTTATTGTTTGCAATAGACAACGCGGCCACCCGAGAGTTTCATTCACCGATCATCAATGCGGTATAGTCTTTATTACGGTATTGTTCTAGAATTATCTATCATGTAAAGAAAAGTCCGTTTTTCTGTATATTTCTGCAAAGATAGACCTGCTTAAAAAATCACTCAATATATACTAATCTGAAAAAAAAGAGTCGCGAGGACATGCTCTGTGTATCGCATTTTTTCTATAAATATCCCGTAAATATCTTGTGTAGAAATAAACGATCGGGGGAAGGGGAAAGGGGGTGAGGAGGGAGAGGGGGCGCGCAAGGGTTAGTTAATTTTTATTCATTCGAGCCAATCAAGCGCATTTGCGTGCTCACGCTCGTGCGGTTCGCCGCGACACAACGATGAGGACGACGGCGCTCGTTCTCTTCGTCGTCGCCGTCGTTGTCATCGTCGTAAACACTGCGGTCGTTAGCGACGGTCGCGTGGCCCTCGACGAATCCCGAAGGGTTAATTGGAGGAAATAAACGTATGCAACGTGCGGCCGACCGCCCGATGTGCAAGCGGAGAATCGTTTCATGACCCTCGATCACCTATTGCTTCCCCGTTTGCGACTTTGCCGGCGGAGACGCGGTGCCAGAAAGAACGAAGAAGACGAGCGGATGACGCGCGAAAGGGTGCGTCTCTCCCGCGGAGCGGCCGCCATGCAAATGAGAGAAACAATCTGCACGGGAACGTTTGCATGCCTTGGTCGCGCTAGAAACGTTACATGAGGGTGGATATTGCGGGATAACAACATGAAACTATATTTGTGGATATGAGCGAAAGTATTAAGGACCATTAACGCGTAAATCGTCGATTACTATAGTCGAAAAGATTTTTAAATTGCACCTCTTGACATTGCAATTAAAAATTTATAGTGCATTGAAGAAGACTAACTTCTAAACTGATTTATTTACTTTTTTATTATGATATTTGCACCGTGATTTATTTTTTCAAAGAAGATGAAATTGTTAAGATCTATTCAAGTTAAGGATCAAGTAAAAATAACAGGACCCTACATGCATCAGTGAACAAACGGGCACGCTCGTCAGTTAAACGAGCGAAGAAGAAGTCGAGGAAAGAGGGGACAAAAAGCAGGACGGCCTCTCGCAGCGAGGTGCATGCAAATTAAACAGAAACAGAGTGCACGGGGCGTTTATCTCTTCTGGTGCAAGAAAGAGACACGCCGCGAGAACAACGGGAA